ATGTTTTAATTTTTATTATTTTTTTAATCAGAGAGGAAGGGAGAGGGAGAGATAAAACATCAATGATGAGAGAATTATTGATCGGCTGCCTCCTGCACGCCCCCTACTGGGGATCAAGCCCACAACCCAGGCATGTGCCCTTGACTGGAATCGAACCCAGGACCCTTCAGTCCTCAGGCCAATGCCCTATCCCTGAGCCAAACAAGCTAGGGCCTCTCCTGACTTTTGTGGCTACCAAGCTCTGTTGGTTTCTGGAAATACTCATTTGAGTTGCATCCTAGCTCCATAGCTGGGGGCATTGTGGCCTTTCTCATCTCTCCCTCCTCAGGCTTTTTCCAACCCCCAGTCCTTGCAAACACCCCCAGGATGCGTCTATACCAAGGACCCTTGTGTATGTGTTTCTTTTAAGGTAACACTGTGACCGGGAGGAAAGGTTTGGGGCACTAGGCAGTTCTGGGTGGAAATTCCGCTTCCCTGCATCCCGTGTGTGTGTGCCGATTCAGTGTGCAAACTCCCCCTGGATTCTCCACCTGTGGGAGTGGACCTAGCTCTCTCTCACGGGGTTTTTGTGTTGTTGTCGGGTCACAGTGGTGTTTCCCAAGTGTGGAGCGCAGCCATCGCTGCCGTGTGCTGGTTCCAGGGGAAGGGGAGGAGGCTCAGAGCACGCTTGATTTGATCCGATGTCACATGACTGACCACTGACCAGTGCCTTTGATTTTATCAACAGGAAAGTCTATGCAGAACTAGCCTCCGATGCCTCTCCGCCGTGGCTAACTGCCTTTATACCAGAGAAATAGCAGGTTTCAGGCTCAGAGGCTTGACAAGCAACAGTGTACAGTTGAAATATTGTTGCCTTGGACAGTATTTCTCAATGGTTGGAACCTCCGCCTACACACCGAAGGACCGAGGGTTCAGTTCCCAGTCAAGGGCACGTACCTGGGATGCAGGTTTGATTCCCCAGCCCCTGCCGTGGGGCACATGAAGGAGGCAGCCGTCTGTGTGTTTCTCTCACATCAGTGTTCCTCTCAGCCTCTTTCTCTCCCTCCCTCCTTTCCATTCTAGAAATCAATGGGAACAGTATCCTTGGATGAGATTAACAAAAAATATGTATTGTAACATTGTTTCCTTCTCATTGTGTTGACTTCATAGTTACCTTCTTTTTGGCATCAAGTTTTTATTCGTGCTATTGAATATCAAGTTTCTATCTTAAACACTTTTATTTAAGCAAAATATCTGAGTCGATAAGAACACCATGAGACATTCAGCAAAAATCATAAAGTTGGAGCAAGACTCATTGCGATTTGGAAAACACAGGTTTAGAGGTAGTGTGTGTCTTGGCAAGATTTTTTTAAAATATATGTTTATTGATTTCAGAGAGGGAGAGAGATAGAAACATCAATGATGAGAGAGAATCATTGGTCAGCTGTCTCCTGCACGCCCCCAACTGGGGATCAAGTCTGCAACCCAGGCATGTGCCCTTGACCAGAATCGACCCTGGGACCCTTCAGTCCGCAGGCCAACACTCTATCCATTGAGCCAAACCGGCTAGGGCTTGGCAAGATTTTTAATACATCACATGCACTCAGTAAACCACAGTTGATGTTATCATTTCTCTCCCCACCCCCGATTCAAACCTCTCACCAATTATATTATTCTCTATGGCCCCATGCACTGCACCACCCCGCCCCTCCCCGCCCCGCCCCGCTAGACTTACTGAGACAGAGGAGAGGAAGCAGTGTATGGATCATAGTGTCACGTCAGCCTGTCCTGGAGTCCTGCACCAGCGCCGTCCACAGAAGCGCGAAAAGCTGGGGTGGTCACAGTTCCCCGCTGACGGCGGAGTGTGGGCAATGATGACTTCTCTCTGACTTCTCACTTCCCTCCTCCACAGCCAGTTTCTGGAAGCGTGTTGTGCCATCGATTGCAACATGTTCCTCCCAACCGACCTTCAAGAAGAACTTCCTCTGTCTCCGTCCGACTTCAGGCACCAAGCAGGCAACCCCCCCGATGCCTAAGACTGGAGCCTGCAGAGCTCTAGGGAGGCGATGAAGGTACTTTGCTCAAAAGTAGTGGGAATCCTGGGCAAATGGTCAGGTTGCTAGGCATTGTGCACAGGCTCAGAACTGAGGGCTTGGGCCCCAACTGGCAGGCAGGTTCAGTGGCTACAGAAGACTCTCAGAACCCCTGGCAGTGCAGTGAGTCTGCGGGTAGTGCAGGAAAGGGTACACACAACAGCGACATAGACAGCATAAGCGGGGGATAGCCCTGGCCGGCGTGTGGCTCAGTTGGGCATCATCCCGCGCACTGAAAGGTTGCTGGCTCAATTCCCGGTCAGGGCACAGGCCCGGGTTCTGGGCTTGATCCCCAGCAGGGGGCGCGCAGGAAGCAGCTGATTGATGTTTCACTCTCACATCAATGTTTCTTCCTCTACCTCTCCCTTCCTCTCTCTCTCAAAATCAGTGAAAAAGGGGAGGGGTTGATTGATGATGGACGGAGACTTGACCTGGGGTGGTAAACACACAATACAACATTCGGACGATGTGTTGCAGAATTGTATACTGAAGCCTTTATAATTTTATTTACCAATGTCACCCCAATAAACGCAGTAAAAAATAAAATGAGGATCAGCATCCCAGGCAAAAGGATCCCCAAAGAGCAGGCATGAGGCCCAATTTTCTCCCCATTCCAAGGACTTTACAGAAGGGCCTTCTCTTGCAGCAGAAACCATGACCTTGTTCACAAAAACTCCACAGAACCGGAGGCCCAGAGTGAATCCTAGACTGGGTTTCTCACTCTGTGACGGGCATGTTGGCATATGCTTGCTACATGCCCAGCCCCAGCCGGCAGAGCCCTCTGGGGTGTCCCCAGGACCCAGTGTGAAGCGTCAGGTTCATGATTGCCAATAAACAATGCTGACAAGCTGGCGCAGACCTCCCCAGAGCTCCTGGGACTGCGGCTACGAAGCGGTGCTGATCACCGGCATGCTTGGCTTCATGGCCAGGCGCCCACGTCACAGGCACGTTGTTACCCCAGCAGGATGGCTCGGGCCAGTTCCTGCTCACATCCGGCCTCACAGCACAGTCCTCCAAGACCCTCTGCGCGTGGGGACTGCACCATATTCTTCGGGGTTTGCACCGATTTTGTGAGACCACACTTGGCACTTAAAATCGGCTTTGAGCCCTAGCCTGTTTGTCTCGGTGGATAGAGTGTCAGCTACAGACCGAAGGGTCCCAGGTTCAGTTCTGGTCAAGGGCATGCACCTTGGTTGCAGGCTCCTCCCCAGCCCGGGCCCTGGATGTGTTTCTCTCACATCCATATTTCTCTGTCTTTCCCTCTCTCTTCCATTCTCTCTGAAAATCAATGGAAAAATATCCCTGGGTGAGGATTTAAAAATAATAACAAATAAAATCATCTTTGAGCCTCGCTGGTGTGGCTCAATGGTTGAGTGTCGACCCATGAACCAGGAGATCACAGTTCCATTCCTGGTCAGGGCACATGCCCAGATTGCAGGCTTGATCCCAGTAGAGGGTGTGCAGGAGGCAGCTGATCAACGATTCTCATCATTGATGTTGCTATCCCTCTCCTTTCCTCTCTCTGAAATCAATTTTTAAAAAGCATTTTAAAAAGATAAAATTGTCTTTGACTCCTGGGAAATGGATGTGTGTGACTCACAGGCTCTCAGACAGTGGCTCCCACCGAAATGAAATGACCAGAAGGTGTGACATTTTTTCTTTTCCTCTCCGTCAGCTTACCACACCTCCTCACTGCTTTTTGTCTCTAGATCAGAAAATATTGGTGCCTCCGCCACTTAGAAGAGTAAGTCCCAGTTTACCTGCATTTTGAACGATTTCCAGCTTCACCGTACAGGCGATTTGGTGTGCTTCCAGCCCATTGTGTTTGGTGGAATTCCTCTGGGCCTCATTGACTGGAGATAGGTAAACTGAGGCCCAGCAAAACAGGGTCCCTTGCTCAAAGACAGAAGTGGGAGAGACGGGTGTGAGAAGTGGAACCCAGCTCGGTCTCAAAAGCCCATTCACTTCCTGTTCCACGAAATCATCTGAAGCTGATTCTCACCCCCCAGTGGAGAAGTGTTTCCTTGTCGTGGCACCGTGCTGTGGAAGCTGCACGGAGGGTCTGAGGGAGCACATTCGTTCTCTGTTGCTGTGTTACCATATTACCACAAACATAGTGGCGTAAGCAACACACCCATATTCTCTCCTCGGCCCGAGGGCCAGAGAAACAGGCACAACCTATCAGGATCCTTGGGCTGCAATCACCGTGTCATCCAGGGCTGGGGTCTAATCTGAAGGCCGGACTGGAGAAGGATCCGCTTCTGAGCCGCAGTGCAGTTCCAACACGTGCCATCTGGAGTTGGCACAGCCCGCACAGGTTAGGGGCACAGCACCCACAAGTCTGCCCCTCACTGCAGACACCAGCTGCAGGCTCAGGTGTTCCCCGGCCACCTGCACTTCTGACCAACAGCCAGACGTGGTGGCGGTTCCCACTACCACCTCCGCTCAGATTCACTAACTTCCTGGAGCCACTCGAGGAATTCAAGGAAGTGCTATACTTAGGGTTACAATTTTATTACATAAAGTAAACAAATCAGTACCAGCTTAGTGAAGAGAGACACACAGGGTGAGTGAGGTCTGGGAAGGTGCCAGAAGTGAAACGTGCTATACCCTCAGGGTGTGTCCACCCCCCAAGCACATGACGGTGTGTCACCAACCCAGAAGCTTTCCAGTCTCCGTGTCCAGCATCTTCGCTGGGATGTCATCACACAGGCGTGGTTGATTGGATTGTTGCCCACGTGACTGAGTCCGTCTCCAGCCTCCCTCTTCCCCAGAGGACCGGCTGATAGCACCTGGTTCTGGTCCCCAACCTTCTCATCACGTGGTTGACCTTCCCGGCAGTGACCAGAACCCCCGTCCTGAGTCCCCTTTCAGCATATCACTCTATGTCAGTGATACCTCTCACTTAAAAAAAATAAACGTTACTTTCTTAGGAGGAGGAAACAAGTCTCAAATGGAGATTTGTCTAGTCACCCAAGGGCCCTCTGCCCCATGGTGCACCCCTTATTGGAGGTTCTTCCTGGTGCCAGGTCTCTTCCTGCTACATCTTGAGGGCCGAGTACACGCAGGTTTCCGGGGTCTGCGGCACCTGGCTGGAGGGGCCCTTGCTCAGGGCTCTGGTGTTCAGCTCAGCATACGTCACCCCCTGAGGTTCTTCAGCTCTTGACAGCTGAGCTCCTTCATCCTGAGGGAAGTGAGGAGAAGAGGATTGAGTATTTCATGGAGAAGGGAGGGGCATTTCATGGTGAGGACTGGGCAGTCGTGGTAACAGTGTGGTAGACAGCTGTCCAGGGCCCCTCCCAGGAGCCTCCTACTCCTCAAGCCTTTGTGAGGTCCCCTCCCCTCTTTGTTTTCTCTTCAATCCTCACCCCAGGATGTTTTTATTTATTTTTAGAGAGAGAGGAAAGGAGAAAGAAAATATTGATGTGAGCTAGAAACATTGATCCAGTTGCCTCCCATATACGCCCCAGCCAGGGATCAAACCTGCAACCTAGGTATGCACCCTGACCAGGAATCGAACCCTGAGCCCTTTGGTGTACTAGGTGATGCTCCAACGAACTAAGCCACCGGCCCAGGCAGGTCCCCTTCCCCTCTTGAGGGTTAGCCGGACCTACTGTCTTACATCTATTACAGGAACACAGCAAAAACAAAAATACACCCAAAGGACTGGATGTTATGTCAAAGATGAGCCGATGAAGGACTGTGCCTTCTCTCATGCCCACTGTCCACGGCTTCTCTACTGTCCCAGCCGTCCCAGGCTCGCTCACGCTGAAGAAGCCAGCTGCCATGTGAGGAGCTGCCCTACGGAGAGGCCCCCACGGCCAGCGTGGTCTCCGGCCAACAGCCAGCAAGGAAGTGAATCCTGGCCACAACCACCTGGGTGAGTGTGGAAGCACAGCCTCTCCTAGCGAAGCCCCCATTCAGCCCTGGCCGCACGCTCCGCACAGCTCTGCGACCCAGAGGGAGCCCCAGCGCAGCCGCGCCAGGTCCTCACACAGGTAGGTGGATCGATGCTGCTTTAAGCCGGTATGTTTCGGGATGACTTGTTACGCAGCAATAGATAACTTATACTAACCATTACCAAAATGGGTGCTAGTAGGAAACCCTCAGGATCGGTAAATCCATAGGGACAGATCAGGTTAGTTACTGCCAGGGCCTGGAGGAGGCGGGGAGGGGATGGGGCGGGACTGCTCCGAGGGCGTGGGGGTTCCTGTGGGGGAAATGTCTGGAACTAGATGATGGTGATGTGGCGCAACATTGTGAACTTAGCAAATGTCGCTGAATCATACACGTTACAAGAGTGAGTTTTCTGTTATGTGCACTTTGACAGTTTTTTAAAAATTGAATTATGAAGGAAAAAAGGTAAGGTTTACTTTTAATATTGCTACTGATAACCGATGCAGGGTCTGCTCCGTGGGGCACAGTGTGGCACGTGCTTTACAGAGGGATCTTACGATATTTTCATCAAGAGGTGGGATTAGCCCTGGCTGGTTTGGCTCAGTGAGTAGAGCATCAGCCCGCAGACTGAAGGGTCCTGAGTTCAATTGCAGCCAAGGGCATGAACCCGGGTTTCAGGTTCACCCCCACACTGTGAGCTCATTATACCACTCCGTTAATCCTCTGAGGAAGTGCACCCCACTGAGGGAGTGGGAAGTGTCCTCACAAAGGCATCATGGGATGAGGGTCCCATGGCCAGAGTCACATAGATGGTTCTCCTGAAATGGAGAGGAAGGGCTGGGGCAGATGAAAGCAAAGGCCCAGGCCATTGACAAAACTAACGGGGGGCTATGGAGAGCCTGGGCTGAGCGAGGGGCTGACGGGAAACTCACCAGAGCAGGAGACCAGCTCTGCATAGCTGGAGATGCATCTGGAAGGGAGAAGATTCTACCATTTGTTCACTCCCAGATCCAGGGGTCATGTCTACACACACACACACACACACACACACATGCACACAGCTACACAAGTATGCTCACATAATGCACGTGTGTGCACACACTAACATATGCAATACTCACATATACACACTCGCATGTATATGCACATAAACATCCAACCTACTCGTGTGCACATGTGCACAAACAACATACGAACCACACAGATAATACACATGCATACTCAAACAGTGCACACATTGTACTCGTTCTGAATGTGTACATGTATGTGTTCACATGAATATGTACCCAGTTACACGTGCAGACACATGCACACAGTACCTATGTGTGCACACACCACATGCCTGCATCCCATACTCCTATAAACATTTACAAACAGAACACACGGACCACCACCACCACCACCATTTTCTTTCCCGGGTTGATTACCTGTCGCCACTTCTTCAGCTTTCTTAGAAGGAGGGGAGCTGAGAGAGAGAAACAGTGAAGTATTGGAGATCAAGGAAGTTGGGGGGAGAAATCAAGATCCTGAGTGGGAGGAGGTGAGACACAAAGAAAGTCACCCAAGTCTCCCCACCTCCTCCCAGCTCAGATGCCCCACCCGCGGTTCCCCGAGTCCTCATATGCTCAGGAAGGTCTCGAGGGCCAAGGAGAAGGAAGTGGTTGGGGACAGCACGGCCGTGAGGAAAGACTCCAAGGAAAGGACATGGTGTGGGAAGTGGAGGAGGGTGTTAAGAAGAGAGAACGTAGAGATTCGGGGTGGTCGTGGGAGCTGGTCTGGGGCACATAAAAGGGTGATGTAACAAAGGGTAAAAGAGTAAGTAGCCCAGGGAATGAGGAACAATGAAGTGTTGGCTGGGGGGTTCTCTGAGTGGCCTACCTTTTGGTCATCTTTTTAAGAGCTGCCCCTGGGGATGAAAAAGAGAAGGGGAGGAATGAACGCTGTGGTGTTAGCTTTGTCGTTCTGTTTCCCCCACTGCCCCCAGAAGACTCAGCCACTGTTCTGACTCACCACAGCAGGTGTATTTGCAGATGAGGAAGGCTGTGAGGAGGAAGAGTAGGGGGACGATGACAATGAGGATGATTTCCGTGGTTCCTGTAAGGAGAGCAGGGGAGAGGCCCCGTTGGTTTCCTGAGACCTGTTCTGATGCCTGACTGTGTCTCCCATTGATGGTGTTCCTGGGACATGCTGGAAACTCACTACCCTTCTCTGCTACTCATAAGTATCCCAGGAGAGAGAAAGAATGATGCCCATTTTACAGACGCACAAGCTGAGGGTCAGAGAGTTGAAAGGTTTCCAAAGGCACTCAACTACTGAGTACCCACAGCTGGGACTCCAACCCCACCCACCTCGAAAGACATTGCATTGAACCACCATCTTCTGGCATCACCAGAATATAGAGAAACATCCACAAGGACGTTCCCAGCAGTAGAGCGCTCTCGGGGAGCCTCATCCCATGTTTGAAGGACTCTATCCCAGGAGGGTCTCTTCTCTTACCTAGTGCTGCTCCCGCTCTCTTAGGAGACTCCGTTTCATCTAGAAGACAGAATTGCAAGTCGCAGAACAACCATCACAGTATACCACTGGTGTGTAATTTTTAAAACTCTATATCACAGGTGTACCTGTATTGTAAGTGTATTAAAAACATGCACACAAATGATAACACCAAGGTCAGGGCGGACGTTTCCACCGGAGGGGGCGAGATCACAGGAATGGTGTGGGAGGAAAAGAGGACTTCATTTGTGGGAAGAAAGCAACTTGTAGCAAATATGACTAAATGGAGACGAGTGTCATTCTGCGTGGTGATGCATGACTTATCTTTTTTTTTACTATCTGTTATCTTATTATTTCTGTTCTATTAGGTAGTATTTTTCAAATTTCCAAAAGGAAACAAATATAGGATATATAGTATATTATATTGTATATAGGATATATTTATATATTGCAATAATTATAATTGAGATAATCTCTCTGTGTGTATATATGTATATATAATGTATGTCATAGCCCTGGCCAGTTAGCTCAGTTGGTTAAAGCACATCCCAATATACCATGGTTGTGGGTTTAATCCCCAGTCAGGTCACGTACAAGAATCAACCAGTGAGTGCATGAGTGAGTGGAACAACAAATCAGTGTTTCACTCTCTCCTTTTCCTCTCTCTCTCTCAAATCAATAAGTAAAAATATAAAAATTTTAACCATATATATATATCCCTAAGCGACCGTTTGACTGTTTGACCGATTGCTATGATGCACACTGACCACCAGGGGGCAGATGCTCACAGGGGGAGCTCCACACAGCCAGAAGCCAGGCTCGTGGCTGGCAAGCGCAGCTGCGGCATTGCGAGCCTCTCCAGCAGCAGGCACAGCGGGACCAGGATGAGGAGTCATCAAGAGGAGGGATTAGCAGTCCGAAATCCCCCAAGGGGTCCCAGATTGTGAGAGGGCGCAGGCCAGGCTGAGGGACCCCACTGGGGCATGAATCCATGCACCGGGGCTCTAATATATATTTTATATATATATATATCTATGACACATGCTGATCAGTAATATTTCTCTGGAGAACCCAGGATAGCACAGCTGGACAGAATTCTCGTACATCAGATACAGCTGTGGTTCCAGGATAAATGGAGTATCTCGCCCATTTTCTATACTGCTTCTGAGGACAAAATAGTAAGAACCCACCCTAGCTGGTGTGGCTCAATGGATAGAGCACTGGCCTGGGGACCGAAGGGTCCCGGGTTCGATTCCGGCCAAGGGCACATGCCCGGGTTTCGGGCTCGATCCCCAGTAGGAGGTAGCCGATCAGTGATTCTCTCTCATCATTGATGTTTCTATCTCTCCCTCTCCCTTCCTCTCTGAATCAATAAAAATATATTTTAAAAAAAAACAAAAACAAAACAAAATAGTAAGAACCCAACCGAGCGTGTTTTGAGTGCCTACTCACATACCCAACATTTCATCTTCCCCACAGCCACCTCGCTGTTTTGTAATCCGGCTGCAGGGAGCGGTTAGAATAGAGGAAGAGTGGGTTTTGTTTGTGAGAGATAAGCAAGCTGAAGCTCAAAGAGGTTACTTGAGCTAACCCAGGTCACACCTGTGAGTAGCGGAGTGTGGCTGGAGCCACATTCCAGCGTCGCTAGCTCTGTGCTTGTGGCACTCTTCGTTGCTTCATCATCCGCAGCTGTGTCCATGCCTTGGGTGCCTTGGGGTTGACAAAATAGAAGAAAATGGGCCTGAGACCCCGGGAGCACCCCTCCTTCAGTTCGTGCTTCCAAACGAGTGGCCACAGGGAGCTCTCAGTTTCCTCGCAACCATCCCACCACACATTTCCTCTGTTCCCCACGCTCCCGCCTCAGGGCCTTCACTTCTCTATCTCACCAGGCGTAGCTTCCTTCTCAGAGCCACCGCCAGGAAGCGGGATGCTAGTCATCACAGCTCCTCCTGTGCACTCAGCCCTCCCCGCCTGCTGCGCTCCGCTCTCTGCAGAGCCAGAGGCAGCATTGAACTTGAGCCAGTTCAGAAGGAATGGACAACTGGGAGGGCAGATCGAACTTGGGAATGAAGGGAGAGAAACACACGAGGGACCTTGAAGCAGATGGTGCCAAGCGAGGTGACACATATTTCCTGAACAGCCACTGGTTTGGGGCACACGTTTTAAGTAATTAGAGGCTCCAGGGACCGGAGGAGAGTATGTTGTCCGTCCCCAAAGTCCCTGCCAACAACACGGGTGTCTCACTGCAAACTAGACGATGGGTTTACAGAAGAATTTCTCAACTTTTGCACTGTTGACATGTAGGGCTGGATAATTCTTTATGGGGAGGGGGTCCTGAGCATCGTAAGGTATTTTACAGCAACTCTGGTCTCTGCCTCCTAGATACCAGGAGCCTCCCCCTGCCCAGTGTGACCTCCAAAAATGTCGCCAGACATTGCATATGTCACTGGGTTGAGAACCAATGGTCTACGGAAAATGAGGCATGAGGTTAAGGTCAGTTTCCTCTTTCCTTCTGTCGGGATTACTGCCACCCACCTTGCTCGGCCTCCCGCCTCGGCCGATCAGGTGACCCTCACATCTCCATGAGTTCACCATGCTGGTGCGGAAGCAGGTCAGGCTTCTGGCCCCACAACAGCTGTGAAACTCGGGGCTTATGAAAGGCTCTGGGGAAACCCAAAGGGGAACCCTTGGCCTGTTTCGGTCATGTACCCCTGCACCTGCCCGTCATCTGCCCTCCACGCACACCCCCACCGACATCCTCCTCTTTTCCTCAGTGTGGCCCCTGCTGACACTTTGCAGGACTTGAAGCAGCTGGAAGGTGTAGGTTGAACTTGACAACAGTTGCCTCGGCCATTCCAGGTCATCCTTTACTAGTATATCGGCATCTGCATGTCAGAAGCAGCAGTAATTACGAGCATCGAGTAAGAACCTCACAAGGTTCCTCATATGCCAGAAAAAGTAGAGGAATGGAAAAAATTATTACTCAGCAGTTGTTGGATAACCAAAAGTATTTAAAAGTTCCTCCTGTGGAGAGGCGATCCAACTTATTATGTCTTTCTTCTTCCCATTTTGCTACTTTAATTTCAGAGAGGAAGGGAGAGGGAGAAAGAGAACCATCAACGATGAGAGAAAATCATGGATAGGCTGCCTCCTGCATGATCCCATTGAGGATTGAGCCCACAACCCGGGCATGTGTGCTGACCAGGAATCCAACTATGACCTCATGGTTCATAAGTTGATGCTCACTGGCTGGGATTCCCTCTCTGTTTTATCACCCCTTTTGGGAAAGACCATCACATCTGTGCTTAAGCTTGTCACATATGATTGAACTGAGTTAGAGAGACAGACACACACCCCTGGCCTTTGTAGAACCTGGAAGACCTTCAACATCATATAATTTCCCACCGATCTTCCTAATTAATAGTAATGAAAACATTTACCATTATCATGAGAGGAGGACACACATTCTCTGGAAAGTCTCCCATTAGGAATGTATCCCTTGATAAGACTGTTTCAGAATTCAGAGGGAGAAGTTTTGGATGTTCATGATGATAATAACAGCAAATACTCATATGACATTTGCTATGGAAAGCATTTAGGTGAAATGACTCATCAGAATTTTGCCATGAGTCCATCATGTTGGTGCTACTATCAACCCCATTTAACAGATGAGGAAACTGAGAGACAGGCTAAGTAATCTGGGAAAATGGGTTATTCGTTAATGGGCCCAACTAAAACCAAACGGTTATTATAATTATTTTCAAAACAAAGCTCCCTTCACACTATTCCCAACCATGGGGCCATTTACCCAGGTAATGGGTGCTCGTTTCTTTCCAAGTGGTTCAGGTGGTTTGAATGTTTTTCCCCCAAATATCAGTGCCTGGAAGGAACACTGACTATCTTTCCTATTGACCTAGAGAACAGAACAGGGTAAATGGACCACAGAGCAGGAAAGGTGTCCCAACGACCAGGCTTGCTGCCTCACCTTGGGCTCCATGGCCCCAGCATGGGGTGTAGAGGACAGTTCTCCCTGTGGTCAGTAATCTCCACACCAGCATGAGTGCCCTGAGTTTCCTCCTATGGCCAGGGGTCTAATTCTGTGGCAAACACCTTTGCTGAGTATATGTCCCCCTCGTTAGATGCTCCAGTCCATCAGGCTACCAACCAAATACCACAGCTGGGCAACTTCTAAACATCAGACATTTTCCAGTCACAGGGCTGGAGGTTGGAAGTCAGAGGTCAGGGTGCCAGCATGGTAGAGTGAGGGCATTCTTCTAGGAGGCAGACTTTGTCTGTCCTCACAGGGCACAATTGGACAGGGAGCTCTCTGGGGTCTCTTCTATAAGGGCACTAATCCCATTCATGAGGGCTCCACCCTCATGACCTGAGCACCTCCCAGAGGCCGCACCTCCAAATACCATCACGTTGGGGCACCAGGATTTTAACATATGGATGTGGGGAGACACAGACATTCAGATCATAGCTCCAGAGAATAGCACCCTTCTTTCTCTTTGGAACTGCTCATTCCCCCTGGCTGGAGTGGGGGTTTTCTTGCCTCACCCTCCAGTGATCGCATCCCCACGGTTGAGCCAGAGGCCAAATTGACCAGGACCATTCACAGTCCCTCCCCAGCTTTTTGAATGGGGCCTGGGAAAGAGGGTCCATCCCCTCTCCAAGGATAGAACTTGCGAACTCATATCTTGAAGCCGTGCTCTCTGCCCAACAGAGGAAGCTAGTCCAGACTCAAAGGGTGAGACAGACACAGTAGGAACACATGTGTCAGGAAAAGAATCAGGCAAAACGTCAGTGTGTGCTTCTGGTCCCCGAAGCCCACTGGCATGCATGCATTTCCCATAATTCACTAGTTCACTAGCCTGTGGTTTCCAGCATGGTGTGATGTGGCCTCCGAGAGAACATCTGGCAAAGTCTGGAGACATTTTGGTGTCACAAGTGGCAAGGGAGACATGTAGTGAGTAGGGGTGAGGGATGCTGCTAAACACCCTATGAAACAGCATGCATCCCCCCATCCCCCGCCCAAAGAATTAACCAGCTCAATCAATATGTCAGCAGTGCCCAACGATCCCATTAATTCTGTGGACCAGTGTATTACCCTCCCCCACCACACTTTTTCTAGGCTACTTCCAAGTAGATTTTTGTCACTTGCAATTGTCTTTTTCGTTCTTGTTGTTAATCCTCACCTGAGGATATTTTTCCATTGATTTTTAAAGAAAGTGGAAGGGAGGGAGAGAAACAGAGAAACATCGATGTGAGAGAGACACATCGATTGGTTGCCTCCCGCATGCACCCTGACCGGGGCCAGGGATTGAGCCTGCAAGCGAGGTACATGCCCTTGACTGGAATCAAACTCAGGATCCTTCAGTCTGCTGGTCCACACTCTATCCTCTGAGCCAAACTGGCTAGGGCAAAAATACAAATACTGTATGATTCCACTTATATGAGGTGTCTATACTAGTCAAATTCATAGAGACAGGAAGTCAAATGTGGATGCCAGGGACTGGGACACGGCGGGGGGGTGGGGAGGGAATGGGAAGGAGTTGTTTAATGGGGACAGAGTTTCAGTTTTGATTGGGAGGCATTGGGGGCAGACTGTGGGCAAATGGCAGGCTGGCCCCACCCCCTGGTCAAACTCCCAGTTGAACTCCTGATCGAGGGGACAATTTGCATATTAGCCTTTTATTATATAGGATAGCCAAAATAGGGAAACCTAGGTGTTCATTAGTATATGAATGGATAAAGCAGAAGCATATATATGTGTGTGTGTGTGTGTGTGTGTGTGTGTACACACAGGCACAGTGGAATATTACTCAACCATGAAAAGGAATGGAATCCTGCCACTTGTAACATGACTAAACCTAGGTGGTATTATGCTGTGAAATAAGTCAGAGAAAGACAAACACCATATCATTTCACTTAGGTGTGGAATCTAAAAGAACTAAACAAATGAACAAACTAAACTCATACGATACAGAAAAACTGGTAGTTGTCAGAGGGTTGGGTGATGGGAGTATGGGCAAGGAGGTGAAGAGGATTAAGAGGTGCAAACTTATAGTTACCATATAAGTAAGTCATGGGGATGTAAAGTACAGCATAGGAAATACAACCAATAATCCTAAATAATAAAAGGCTAATATGCAAATTGTCCCCTTGGGAGTTTGACCACCTGCTAGGACGTGTGCTGACCACCAGGGGGCGGCACAAAATGAAGGAAGACCCTGGCCAGCGGCCAGCAGCCAACGGCCAGGGGAAGGAAGGCCCCCATTGGGCCTGATTGCCGGCCAGGCCTACGGACCCTACCCATGCATGAATTTCGTGCACCAGGCCTCTAGTATCATAATAACTTTGTATGGTGACAGATGAATAGTGGACTTTTTGTGGTGATCACTTTGTAAGGCATATAAATGTGAAATCACACTGTGTTGTACACTTGAAACTAATATATTGTATATCAAGTATACTTTAATACAAAAGAGCTTTACAGCACTAGCCAGTTGGCACGTGGTTAGAGCATCGGCCCGAGGACTAGAGGTCCCAGGTTTGACTCCAGTCTAGGGCATGTCCCTCGATTGCAGGCTCAATCCCCAGCCCTGGTCAGGGTGTGTGCTGGAGGCAACCAATCGATGTGTCTCTCTCACATTGATGTTTCTCTCTGTGTCTCCCCCTCCCACTCACTCTAAAAATCAATGGAGGAAAATATCCTCGGGTGAGGATTAACAAAAAAAAATTTTTTTAAATAAAAATAAAAGAGCTTTACATTCCTGAATTATTAAAAATGTTTAAAATGGTAACTTTCATACTATGCATTTTTACCACAATTTTTAAAAATCATCCCTATTTTTAAAAAAGTCTAGGCAGGAAAAGAAAACCTCCACTTAGTTGAGCTAAAAGGCATGAATGGTAGAGAATGAAAATGAAGCGCATCTGTCTGGAGGCCTCTGAGTATATCTGGGAAAGGTATTTCCCAGGCCCTTTGCTATTCTCCCCCCTCCTCTACCTTCTTTCTGGAACCTCCTACTGTATGACTCCAGGAGTTATCATTCACACTTTAGTCTAAATGAGTGGTGGCCTGCCAGGCAGGGATTTTGAGGTTAGATCTTATTTTCCTAGTGGGGCCAGGTATCACAAATCCCCCCAGCCTCCTGCCTTGTGATTCTCCACCACTCACACTCCCTCTGTTAGCAGAAGATCCTGTCCATTCCTCCAGGGCATCCTGGCTTCTAACTTCCTTTCCCCCACGTGACTTTTTCCAAGCTCCAGAGTCTTGTAGGGACAGAACCTCCCTCTGATGTACTCCAGGTGGCAGAACGTCAGCTGGTAGATAACCCAGCCATCCTCCTCCTAATGGTAAAAACCTTACCTGTCACCGAGATCGTGAGCTCATCACTGGGCTCTGATGCATGGAAAGGAGCCTTTCTTTGGTAGTACACACAGCTGTAGGCCCCAGTGTCATTGACAGTCACACTTGGAAGGGAGAAGTTTGTCTCTGTTTTTACTGGACCCTGGAGCTGTATGGGTGTTGAGGTTCCTTTCTTCAGTAGAGCAAACATGTGAGGTTCTATCACATGCCTGGGCTTCTGGCACTGCAGAGTCACATTTTCTCCTGCAGTCACCTCACCCCTTTGGTGGGCTTTAAGGGAAGGTTTAGGGAAATTTCCTGTAAGAGAAGGAAGCTCAGAATTCATGGGCAAGAAGCCTTGGGTCCCTGCTCAGGCTTGTTGTCCTGGCAGGTTCCCAGGGAACGTGGGAAGTGACAGACACCTGGCCTCACCCTCTTTCTGCTCTGACTCCAGGAAGGAGATGTCCCTCCTACAAGCCCTGGATGGGGGCAGGGTCCCCAGCTCTGTTCCTGTCCTTCTCCATCCACCTCCCCATCTACTCTGGAGGTGGGACCCTGCTCCACTCTCATTCTCTGGATCCTCTCCCATCCCTGTCCTAGGGAGATGGTGTGTCATTCTGAGCACCCGTCCTCACCTGTCACCAGTAGTAGAAGGACGTCACTGGGCGGTGACCTTCTGGTGGGGCTCTCTGTCCTGTACTCACAGGTGTACTCTCCAGCGTCACTAGTTTTTATGTCACTGAGATGAAACTTTGCCAGGCCACTTGGGGAATCAGGAGAGAACTTGAAAGAAGCGTTGTTCTTTCTGAGAGCAAACTTGATGTCCCTGAAGTCGACCTCCTCAACAGGCATGGAGCATCGCAGTGTCACATCACTGTTGGCAGGAGGCATGGAGCTGGGCCAGGCACGGAGGGAGGGCCTTGGAAGTGACACTGGAGGAAGCAGAGTCCAGGTCTGGATTAGATTTACTCACCTGCTGTTCTGAAGAAAGAGAAGGGGTGGGGGGATTGGAGTGAAGGAGAAGGAAGGCTTTCCTTTAGAAACACTCACCGTCTCTTCTTAGGTCTTGGCCAGCACACAGCCCTGCAAAGGAATCGTCCATGAGACAGAAGCTCCTGCCAGGAGCCCACATCATCACCCTGACCTGGTCCCTGAGGGACCACCCAGGGCTTTTGCTGCGAATGGACCCCTCATCATCCTTTTCCCCATTAGGCCCAACTCCCTCCCCGACAACCCAACTGGCATCAGTCTATTCGCGGCTTCTGTTAGTGGCCTAGGGCTGTTCTAACAAATTACCGCAGTTCCTGGCTTATCACAACACAATATGTCTCCTGCCATTCGGTCAGTGTGAGAAATCCAGCATCGGGGTCTCACTGGCCAAAATCAAGATGCTGGCAGGATTGCATTCCTCTGGAGGCTCGAGGGGAGAACCCATCCCCTGCCTTTCTTAGTTTCTAGAAGTGCTTGCATTGGCTTGTGGCCTCTTCCCCCATCTTTATTTTTATTTTAATCCTCACTGAGGATATTTTTCCATTGATTTTAGAGAGAGGGGAAGAGAGAGGGAAATACCGATGTGAGAGAAACACTTCAATTAGTTGCCTCCTGCATGTACCCTGACCAGGCCCCAGGCCGGGGAGGATCCTGCAACCGAGGTACGTGCCCTTGACCAAAATCAAACCCACGACCCTTCGGTCCACAGGCCAACACTCTATCCACTGAACCAAACTGGCTAGGGCGTCTCTTCCCCCATCCTTGCACCCAGCAGTGGTTGCTCAAGTCCGACTTCCTCTTCAGCCCCCTTTGCTACTTTAAGGACCATTGTGATTGCATTGGGCCAACCAGGTAATTCAGGATCCTCTCTCTCAGGTCAGCTGCTTAGCAACTTCGGGTCCATCTGCCACCTCAATTCTCCTTTGCCACCGAAGGAGACACAGTCACAGGTTCCGGGAATCAGGACATGGACATCTTCAGGGAGCCTGCTGCACAGTGTCTCTACCTTTCTCACCTGCCCCACTTCTCCATCCCAGGTTCCTCTCCTCTCACAATGCCCCCATGATGTGGATGGCCTTTCTATTTTCCTCCAGAACTGACCCACTTCTCCCCATCATTCGTCCTTTTTTATTGAATTTATTGGGGTCACATCCTATATAATAAAGAGCTAATATGCTAATTAGACTGGACAGCGGAACGACCTTCTGGAACAACCTTCCTGAACGACTGGAGGGCCGAGGGCTGAGGCGGCCAGGCTGCAAGGGCCAAGCCCTTGCACAAATTTTGTGCATCGGGCCTCTAGTTGGTTAATAAAATTATAGGTTTCAGGGGTACAATTCTATCATACGTCATCTGTATGTTATATTGTGTGTTCACCACCCCAAGTTAAGCCAACTTCCACCACCATTTATCCTTTACCCTCTCCTACCTCCCCTCACCCCCACTTCCCTCTGGTCCATCATCATCCTTTACCCACCTTATTCTTCTTCCATATCCTGCCATGTTGTCTCTAGATTTCATGGTGGAGGGGAAGACAAAGGACACGACCACCTCTGACTGTCTCTATCACCCCAAGTGGTCGCTGAGGTGACCTCTGATGTGTCACATTGTAGAGGGCAAAGCCCCCCTCCCCTCCCCTGGTGCTGTCTATTCTAGACCGTGAGAGACCTCACTGGTGACAAAAGCCATTTGGAAAAGACAGCTCGGTTTTAATGAGAAACACAGCAATTGGTTGCCTCCTGCGTGCTCACCCTCGTTCACCCTCCAGTTGGTTATTCCTCATGCCCTGGGGAAAGTTCATATCTGGAGTCACTAGAACCTGCGCCCCTCGAGGGCAGAGAATATATCCTCGGTGCCTGGGACAGTGCCTAGGTTTCTGCAAAGGTTCGACAATTTTGTGTTGACTGACTGAGTTGAAGCCTTATGAGCAGGGAGGGAGGGTCATTTGCAAAGATTTTTGATGAGCAGAAATAGCAGCGATCTCCCCAAACCCCCTCGCAGCACAACACCATACCCACCCACAGCAACTGAGATGGAAGGAAGAGGTGGGGAGACCCCAAGCCCATGGCAAGGGGCATCGGCTGCTGAAGACCTCGTCCTTTGCCCTCGTGTATTTCTTCCCGCTCTCAGAATGGCCACATGCGTCTCTGGCTCTACCATCGGCCATAGGTAACCTCCTTGGTGCCCCAGAGCAAATCTCAGCAATCCAAAACCCACATGACTTGGAGGAGTGAAGCTTGTGTCCCCCACCTTTCCCATCTGGTGGCCCCAGGAAGTGTGCCTTTAGACACCAAGGTAGGTGGTCTCGTTTGATTAGCTTAGGACAGTGATTCTCTGCAGGGGACACTGGGCCACATCCTGGCAACTTGCAAATACACAATACAGTGTCGTTCACTCTAGTCACCATGCTGGTATAACAGGCCCCCAGAACTTACTCATCTTACAGCTGGAGGTTTGTACCCTTTGACCAACATCTTCCATTTCTCCCACACACACACCCACCCCCTAGTAACCACCATTCCTCTCTTTGATTCTATGAGTTCGGCATTTTTAGATTCCACATATGAATGAGAACATGCAGTATTTGTTCTCTCAGCCTGACTTGTCTCACTTAGCGTAATACCACCAGGTCCATCCACATTGTTGCAAATGGCAGAATTTCCTTCTTTCTCATGGCTGAACAGTATTACATTATCTAGCTACATGGCAGATAGATGGATAGACAGAAAGACAGACGACAGATGTCCTTTTTTAGCCACTCATCTATTGATGGACACTTAAGTTTTTTGTGTGTTTTCACTATTGTAAATAATGCTGCAATGAACATAGGGGTGCAGATATCTCTGTGAGGTCGTGTTTTCATGTCCTTCAGTATATATATATATCCAGAAGCAAAATTGCTGGGTCATGTGGTAATCCTATTTTTAATTTTTGGAGGAACTTCCACAGTGGTCACACTAGTTTACATTTCCACCAACAGTTCCCTTTTCTTCACATCTCTTCCCAACACTGATCTCATCTCGACGATGGCCATTTTAGCAGGTGGTGAGCAGTTGTGACAGAGCCCTCCTGGTCCAGAGCCTCTCTGCCACTCGGACCTCTACATTAAAAGGTTTCCAACAGCTACTGATCTCATCGGTTCCACTGTCACTTCCCTGCCCTAGGGTTTCCTTCACTCACCCTCCAAATATTTCCACCCCAAGTTATCACCTTTTATTTTTACTCTTTTGGCATTTTTATATGTTTATTGATTTGAGAGAGAGAAACATCAGCTGGTTGCCTCCCGACCGCGGATCAAACCCAGAACCTGGGTATGTGTCCCGACCAGAAATTGAACTGGAGACCCTTTTGTGCGTTGGACAGTGCTCCAACCAACTGAGCCGCACTGTCCAGTGCAAATCCTGACCTTTTAGAGTTCCCAGCCTGGCTCAGTGGGAACTTGCTGTCTTTGGAACCGTGCAGACCCGGATTTGAACTGAACTTCTCCATTTCTGTGTCACATCTGTTGTCAGTCTCAGATTCCTCACAGGCAATATGGGGATGTGACTGTTCTGCAGAATTTTTCTAAGACATGTAACATGAAGTCATACAAAGACACAAGATTAACATTGACTCTGTGAGAAAGTTGTTCTCATTCTATCTCTGTCTTTTTTTCCTTTAATCTTCACCTGAGGATATGTCTTTATTGATTTTTAGAAAGAGGAAGGGAGAGAGAGAGAAAAAAAATAGTGCTTGGTTGCCTCCCATGCACACCCTGACCAGGGATTGAACCCACAACCTGGGTATGTGCCCTGACCGGGAATCAAACCAGAAACTTTCTTGGTGTGTGGGTCAACGCTCCAACCAACTGAGCCACCCAGCCAGGGCCTGTCTCTGTCTTGATCACAGAAGAATACCACAGCTGGATACTAGGTTCCAACCCATTTCCTTTTTATTTAATTTGTATTTATTGATTTGAGAGAGAGAGAGAAACAGCAA